GCCATTTTTCATCTGTAAAAATGTTTTCATTTGTAAAGATGCATTAAACCACAGTGGACATAGTACAAACCCAGCACCAATTGGTTAAGGTATGCCTAGTGTAAACAGGTTGATTTAAATGCACACACAAGTAGTTGACCTGCCCTTTCCAACAGGTAAATACAGAGAGTTCCACACCCTATACCAGGATGGGAAGTTTCAGAATGCAGCCACCTTGCTTGTATCTTTGATCTCCTCCAAGCTGGCTCCTGAGTAGTAAGTATTTACACATCTCTCTCTCTCCCACCTTCCATCCCTCTGTCTCTCTCAATCTCTCCCTTCCGATACCTCTTAATCTCTCTCTCACTCCTTTTCTCATCTCTCTCTCACTCTCTCTCTCTCTCTCTCTCTCTCTCTCTCTCTCTCTCTCTCTCTCTCTCTCTCTCTCTCTCTCTCTCTCTCTCTCTCTCTCTCTCTCTCCCCCTCTCCCCTCAATAGTATATTTGTATATATATATATATACACACACATGTATATACATATATACACACACACTCATATAAATATATATACATATATAGTATATATACATATACATGTACACACACACACACACACACACACACACACACACACACACACACACACACACACACACACACACACACACACACACACACACACACACACACACACACACACGTATACATATACATATACATATATGTGTGTGTGTGTGCGTGTGTGTATGTATAGGCATATATTTGTTTTATATATATTCTATTGAACTAAAACCCAATGTAACAAAAACTTATTATAAATCCTTTCAGCTTTTGGCCGGTCCTTCTTTTGGATGCTTTACCTCTTCTGAAGAGTGAAGAACCTGTTATTACTGCAGAACAGACCTACGAGCTCATGTACTGCTTACACAATCTTAGTCATAACATAAATAAAAAGTGAGTTGTCTTTGGTGTTGTAAGTTTTGTTTGTTGTTCATACAGAGGTTAGAAACTTGTTTTCCCAAATCTATGATACTGTACAAGTGTTCTTTGTAGGTTTTTAAGTAGTCTGCATCTTATTTGAATTACAGTAAATACAATGGGCAAATAAAGTATAAATTTAGGATGGCTAACAACCAAACTTGTGCATAAAATTATACATAGATATGGATATATAGATATAGAGTAATTGTATATAAATGATTATAAACTACACACTTCAGTTTCAGTTCTTTTCATGCATGTATTCTCACATTTGGATTTTTTTACTTTCATAAATTACAGAGATAAGAATAGCCCACTGGAGACAGAAGCAGCCATTACGTCCTTTTTGGAGAAGGAGAAAGACATCCGATTAGCACTGTCAGACAATTTGGCGCGGGCGGTTATCCACGAGGGCTCCATGAACGACTAACACTTGGAAGCTTCCCATATTTCATAGTTATCACATAGTGTGTATTATCTTTCGTAATAAGTCATTTCTCTATTTTCATAAATGGTTTGTCTTCTGTTTTATCCTTGATGTCTTTACATATGTTTTGTTTATTTATAATAATAATTTGGAATTAAAATGTATTTTTAAGTGCATTGAGCCTTTATTTAAGTAGATATGCCTCCTTTATAACCCAATGATTTCTACTTTTTGTGTATCAGTGTCTAATGGTATTTGAGAACTGTTTTATCCTTGATGTCTTTACATACGTTTTTTTGTTGACTGCATTAGTGTCATATTGAGGGGAAGGGAATAGTTTGGTTCATAGAAGTAGTATTTCCCTACAGCTTACCATAATTTGCATAGTCATTCCATTCATTGTAATTACAAATACACTTTGATGTTTTGAGTATAAAACAGTTGATCTCTTATTACGACTTGAACATGATACATTACACGCAATCAGAATTAGTGGCAATGCAAATCTACTGATACCCAGTCTTATAATAATTATGGTCTTATCCATCTAATCTGAAAAAAAGCCTTTCGCTAAAAAATGTGAAAGCAATTATTGAAGGTGGTGGCCATATTTACTCTAAATGTTTTATATGCGTGCATTGCATTTTCAATGGGAAATTCGATATAAATGGCCAATGTGAGAAAGCAAATTTCACTTAATTTTTTTCCCCGCCACCTCTCCTCAAGAAAACACAAGTTTATTTTACTGAAAAATACAGTTATAGCAGGATGCTTGTGTCATATCTTACAATTTTTACTTAATTTTCTCTTAATTTCTTCCTCCCCCCCCTTGTTAAATAAAAAATATAAAAAAAAAGAAAAAGAAAGTTTCAAATTATAGAGACTTGTTAAAGTCATCACTCCCAAACCAATGGAAAATAATACAAGAGTACCTTAAATTCCAGATAACGTGGGTGCCTTAACCCAGTGCCAACGGGCATGATGCGTACATACGTGCCATGCCCACTGTGAGTTGCTTGTTTGTTTTTACACCTAGATGGCTACACTTGTACTGTCACCAATGAGCCAATAACGAGTACTGCCTGTCTTGCCTGTCCTTTTCTTTGATTTACGAAAATATTTTACGTTATCTTATTTTGCCGTTACTAATGTTTATAATAAAGTAGTAAAAAATTCAAATCAGCTAAGGTCACAAGGTCTACTACTTGACTCCTTTGTGGCTAAGCATTAGCAGAGACATCACAAAAATTATAAAAAATGAGCACAGCTTTTTCCCCATTTTTTGTTCATTTTCCCCGGCAGCATTGGGTTAATTAACAAAAATTTACATATACATGTCATTCCAGCTTGTGATTTGTCTTACTAACCCTTCTATAGAAAATATTTCTAAAGCACCATGCAGATGAATAGGCAATGGCTAGTAAAAATTTATTGAAAATTTTCTGGCACGTCAACATCTAGGGTCACTAGTGTTGTATATTAAATATAGCGATAGGGTGGGGCTTGTGGGCAAAGCCCCCCCGAGTATTTTTTTGGTTCAGGAAGGCAACGTTCGTGGATTTCTAGAATATACCAGGTATCAAAGTTTAAACACCATTATGGTACTGTGGCAAAAAGGGGTAAATATGAGTTAATAATTTGGAAAAGTGGACAGAAGAAGGGGATGAAGAAGGAGAAGAAAAGACCTTGCAAATTAGTTATGGCAAGAGCTGAGGACCAAGGCAGAGATGATCCCTACATTTGACCTCAGTCTCCACCTGCTCAGACAATTCCATGGAACAACGAGCAAGGGATTGGGGGAGCAGTGACTGAATATTTCACGCTTGTTTAGCAGTGTTACCAGATCAAGCAGTCCCCGACAGCTATCAGCTACTACCAGGCACACCCTCTGTTGCTGTCCAGACGGGTGATGGGCACACAGCAGAACAAGCTGAGGTGAGGGAGTACCAATAGTGGGTGTCCAGTAAAACGCCAGACAGCAGCCTACACTTGTGGCTGCCAAACACCCGCTAAACTTTAATTTGGAATATTATTTGTTTAGTGTTTGCCTGATGGGCACTGTCTATTCATCTGGATGGGGCCTGATCCATGAGTTTTCAGTGGCACAGATGACAAGTTTGTTTTTTTTCATCTTTCTGATAATACTGTCTACTCTCAGGAATGGGAAAACTACAAATTCATCCTGAACCTTGGAGTAATCTGATTTGGCAAGTCTCTTTTAAGGGAGAAAGAGTGGCGTAAACCACCTATAAATATATTGCATATAATTCTGGATGTGTAAACAAGTATCAAGTTTTAGCCGATTAGAATGAAGAAGAAAAAAGGTGAAGTACGAGGGTCCAGGGTGATTTGCCAGTTTTTCCTTTCAAGAGATATGTACTCATTTTTTCCAAGATATGTTGTGTAATGCTGGCTGCTTGTCCTTTTATTTGAGAAAATACTTTCCATTCATCTATGGAGAATAGCTGGCAGAAGTATGCATTTTCAATGTCCGGAGAGAGCATCTGTATTCAATCATTTCCCTATATTTTTCTTATAGTATTTGCATGTGTGAATTTGTATACTATGGGATTTTTGAAAGAGGATTAACAAACACTGCATATCATAACTAAAGAGTTTCATTTACTTGTCAGTGTTCACAATTCCTCACACTATTTCCCAAATGCAGTCATATGCAATATTAAGTCATATATTATGGACTGCCATGTGAATCTGGAACTTTCCTAAATGATGGAAGATATATTTAACCTTTGAGTGCATGAACCAATATTCCTATATAAAAAAAATTACATCAATCAGCAGATTAAAATATAATTTTTTATATAATCAAAATATTTGGAGTCATAAAAAAAATACAGGAGTGATTTTTTCTTTTTTGCATATACGGTTTAAATATCCGATTAAAAAAAAGCAGAGCTCTAGGTTTGTTTCAATTTCTATAAATTTCTTATGTTCAGTCCTTGTAAAATGCATTAATGATCCTAGATAATGCACCTGTACAATGAATCCTATTGTTTTTTTTTTTTGTCACTAATCCACCCCCAAACTCAGTTACAATGGGAAAAAATCTGTGTACACTGCTCGGACAATTCCATGGCAGAGGGAAAGAAAATAACTATCATAAAAAAATCTGTGTAATTTCTATTGTAGCTTTTTCAGAGCCTTTTAAGAACCTATATATAACATCCAAAGCACTGAAAGTTGCACAATGTTACTGACCACAGAATATGAATAAAGTTGAAAAGCGAATAATCATAACTTCCTACTCTCATGCAGGTAGATATTTGGGTTGCAAAGTACATTTAACAATTGAAATTTGTAAGAAAAATTACTGAACAGCTGTTTCCTGCCTGTCTTACATATTCCAGTTTTCTTCTTGACTAAAAACAGTTCAGTAACTTGAGATCTCTTACTATACTTAACAATCACTAGCAGCACTGACTATTGCATTTATCCCTTTTATCAAGTCTGAATACCAATGGTTGTTCAAGCACTGCAGAATGTGATCCTTGTTTGTTGTTTTTTTTTTAACAGCCAATTGTATGGGTACATTGGAATTTGCCACACAATTATTTTGTTTCAATTCTCAAGGGTAATAGAAACTCTAAGGGTGCAGTAAATGATAATGTATTGGAAGCTTTGACAGTCTGAAAGTGGAAGAGTGAAGAAGTGGTTCAAATACCCACCTGGAAGAGGGGGGAGCATTCAGGCACCCTCCACCCCTCCCCCACACTCCAGGAATAATGTGCTTCCATAAAAATTATATAGAAAAAAAACTTTTTTTTTGTATTGTTTTGTATAACCTTACAAGTCATGGAATAGTTTAGAGTGAAATGAAGTTTTTTTTTTTTATGAGTTCAAAGAACTCACGGTTTTCTTGTTTTCCTTCTCTTTTTTGGCAAATTTTTCACTTTAATTGATGCATCACACTACATTGTCCCGTAAAGAATGCCCTGTACTGTCTCTCCAATAACTGTTTACACATTAAAGCACTACCCTTTATCACAGGCAGTGCAAAGTCAGTACGTTGTGCAACGTAGTGCAACACCTCTAGCGTTTTAGTACACATGGTAGCCCCACTTGTCATCACAGTCACAGCTAAATCATCACCAATTTGCCTCACTGCTGTTGATGCTGCTGTTGGTAGGGAGGTCGCTGGCCTTGGTATCCACCCCCACGGCCTCTGAAGTTTCCTCGGGGTCCTTGTCCTCTGAAGCCACCACGACCACCGCGAGGACCTCCTCCCATTCCTCCTCTTCCACCTCTGTAACCACCTCCACCGTAGCCTCCTCCGTAGGCTCCGCGGCCATTCTGGTAGCCACCTCCGCCACTGTTGCCCCGACCGCCCCGGAATCCACCCCTGGTTCCAAAACCTCTGCCCCTGCCTCCTCGGTAACCTCCTCTTCTCTCATAGTCTCCATGTCCATTGGTGGGAGCTTGAGCCTGGTTCACCTGATTCTCATCAAACTCTTCCCAGTTCCCGGTTTCTCCACCAGCCCACTTGTCATCACAGTCACAGCTAAATCATCACCAATTTGCCTCACTGCTGTTGATGCTGCTGTTGGTAGGGAGGTCGCTGGCCTTGGTATCCACCCCCACGGCCTCTGAAGTTTCCTCGGGGTCCTTGTCCTCTGAAGCCACCACGACCACCGCGAGGACCTCCTCCCATTCCTCCTCTTCCACCTCTGTAACCACCTCCACCGTAGCCTCCTCCATAGGCTCCGCGGCCATTCTGGTAGCCACCTCCGCCACTGTTGCCCCGACCGCCCCGGAATCCACCCCTGGTTCCAAAACCTCTGCCCCTGCCTCCTCGGTAACCTCCTCTTCTCTCATAGTCTCCATGTCCATTGGTGGGAGCTTGAGCCTGGTTCACCTGATTCTCATCAAACTCTTCCCAGTTCCCGGTTTCTCCACCAGCCCACTTGTCATCACCATTGACTGGGACATCTTGGACTCCCCAGGTGTTTTCTTCTGGCTGCTGCTGTTGCTGCTGAACAACTGGCCCAGACTGCTGAGTGGGTGGCTGTTGTTCAGTCCATGGACTAGCCTCTGGGTTGAACTCTACTTCCACCTTCTCCTGAGGACGAGCCTGGGGAGGCAGTGGAATAGGTGGCGGGGGGTTGGGTGTACTGTCCACAACAGGATTGTTAGGGTAGACAGGCACACCTTGGGAGTACGCTGCTACATTTATGTTGTTGAAAGTCTGATTGGTATATGTTTGCGTGGAAATGTTGGAGGGATGTGTTGGGTCCTGGCCTGGAGCCACCATAGGAGTGGGTGGCTGTGGCTGCTGCTGTACTGGCGACATAGTCCTTTGGGGGTCAGGTTTCACACTGCCAATGGACACCACAGCTGGATCCATGTACACTGTGGGAGGTTCTTGAGCAACCTGACTTTCCTGCAAAAAGTCAAAGCTCCCAGGAGATACGAGGTCACTGAGAGAGATCTGCTGAAGCTGTGGTGGAGGAGGTTGCAAGGGTGTGGCAGCTTGCTGGGGTGGAGGCTGCTGGGGTGCTTGTTGTGGTGCTGGCTGTGGGACCTGCTGAGGTGCTTGCTGTGGGGGTTGTTGTGGTAGTGGCTGAGGAGCAGCTTGCGTGAAGTAGGAGGGAGGTGCAGGTGGCAAGCCAGGAGCTGCAGGTGGGGCACCAGGAACAGCTGCTGTAGTCATCTGAGCCATTGCTGCTACAATTGCCTCCTGTGTGGGTGTGACTGGGTTGGGCTCCTGGTTAATTGCCGAAGGGAGAGGGGGAGGGGTGACTGTTGGGAGTACAAGGCCAGGAGGAGGACCTTCCGTAGTGATGTTGTTCACCACTTCCTCCATAGCAGGTGCAATTAACTCTGGTTCCTCACCAATCATGCCATTTGTGTATTCCTCAGCCACTGTTTCTTTCTCCTAGAAAAAAAAAGAGAAACAAAAAAAATTATTAGGGCACATCCTAAAATACCTATAGATATTCCAACACTCCTTTCTGGATATCACTAAAGAGGTTTTTACAACTACGACATAGGAAGGCATTAAACCAGGTCAGCATAAAGCACGACTTGCAACAAAAAAAAAAAAGTTGGAGGGGAGGAAGGTCAGAGGCAAACAGAGGAGGGTTGAGTTATGCAAAGAAACACAAGGCAAATCCACACTTGTCTAGCCACCACACGGTTATGAAGTCTCCATAAAAAAAATAATAATAAAAATAAAAAATCTTCAGACCACTGCAAGGACAGGTTTGATCCTCAACCTTACCTTGACAACGGTAAGGATGATTCTTGAAGATCTGTCGAAAAGAACAAGACAAAAAAAGCTTACTTGCCCTTCCTTTTCCCACAACCCCTTCCATCCACTTAAGCAACTTAAGCACTGATACATTTTCTCATATTATTACAGACCACATAATGCTCACCAATATAGCTTTCTTTCTGGGCTATTCATATTGGTATTTCTGCTTTATTGGTGGCAGTCAAGAGGGCTCTGACACAATGTAACAATCAAGTTAAACCTCAATATGTTCCAGAAAGGTTATTGGAAGTATATCTTTGGCGAGATTTTTCTTACCCTAAAATTTCAAAAAGCTCTATATATTTTGAATACCTCGCTAAGCTAGTACAACAACAGGGACTTTTTCACATGCTAGATCATCCTCTCTATCCCAACTTTGATGTTCTAATATAAAGGATACATTGGTTAAAACAAGTGATGAGAAAACAAAAACTAAAAAGGTAAAGAATAGGATAAATGTGGTAAGAATATCATATTCTCAAAGCCAACAACAATAACTTTATCCAAATACAATAATGCAACTCCAATAGACAAGTACAAAAAATAGAATAATTTTATGAAGAAAAGAAAGGAATATATTTGCAGCTGCTTACTTATAACTTCAAGAAAAAGATAACATGACAGACTCACTGGGTAACATTAATAATTGCATCTCATCAACAAGACATCTAACACAATCAATGAACATAAATGTTGTCAATATTATACAAAAAAAAAAAAAATCTCAACATCCTCATCAGCCTTAAGCTAATCAAATAACAAAAGTTCAAAACCAAAGAGCAGTCACTCACGGGCTCTTTGCTGACAGCCTCTTCCGTCGTGGTTGGTTTTCTCTCAGGATAGCAGCAGACAGAAATCTGTTCCACAATATTACGCAGGGCTTTGTATGTGGTGCTAGCGACTTCCTTATTCCTCCCTTCCAGCAGATGGAGGAAATGCTCTCCTGCTTTCCGTAATTCATCCTGATTTAAAAAGAAAATTGTTACTTTTTGGTTAAACTTTCCAACCTCTATGATGGCAAAGACAAATGCAAGCCAAACAAATATGATTTGTGCAATTACCAACATGGGCGAGTCTTTTGCCTAATTTTAAAAAAAATTCTCAACCAACATGATATTTATTCCAACAAATCAAGAACATTAAACAAATACTCATGAATACAAATAAAATCATAATATAACAAACACAAATCTCTATTTGCATTATGGAAATAGAAACTGGTCTCCTTACATTGAATTCAGGCAAAGGCTGGCCTTCCGACCTGGTTGGGGTCACCAATTTGAAAAAAGCATCAAGCTGATTTATGTTCTCGGGCTCAAGCTGTACAGCACCATTGGTCCCCGCCAAGAAGTCTGTGCGAGCCTCTTCCTGTCCCATTTGATGCAAAACTTCCTGTGAAGAAAGAGTTAAAAGTTATAATAAACAGCACAATTGTAATGAAGTTCAATTTCCCAAACTGCCAACAAATTGTGCCCCAACTTTTCTAGAGTTCTGATAGGAAAGAAGAGTAATGATTTTAAAAATTATCTTTATAAATAATAATCTACTATACTAGAAACATGGAAAGATTCCTCCATCATTAGACAGTTTTAAAACACATTTAGGAAAAAAAAAATTACCATTTTCTCTAAATACTTATCATGAATATGAATATCTATAATTCAATGTCAAAAAATTAAATACAGTCTATAGAAGCATAGTAACTTTTTTTTCTCATTTCTTAGTCTCCCCTTCTATTCATCCTTTACACACTAACCTACAAAAATAAAAAGACCTTACCTGAATTTTTAATATTTCTTTCACGCGATTTACTTCTTCCTGAAACCGTTCTTGCTGTTCCCTTTTCAATTGTCTCTTGGAAACTTTGTTGTGTTCTGAGACGATGTTGGAGCACTGCTGACTTAGCTCCCGCATCAGGTCCAGGTTGGCAAGAACATTGTCATAGTTCTGTATGGCAAGCTGCTGGTCTTCATTTAGTTTCTTTCCAGCTCGGATGTCCAATCGGTACTGTTCCAGTTTGGTCTGTGGATTGAAAGAAGAAAAGATTTAAATTTGGTGCAGGGTAAATTTAACTCATGAAAGAGTAAGTTTAACTTCAAATAGTGTAAACAAAATTCAGCTTGCAACAAAGATGACTGATTCTCAGTAGCTTGACCAGATGGTAATATAAACTTAATAAAAACAAAGTAACAAAATCGGACACTTGTGATGCTTTTTACAGTATTATTCACCATGATAATCATAGGGAAAGGAATTAGATCATTTTTAATACAAACAAACAAACAATTAATATGGGTGATGATAGTGACATCAAAACAAACATATATCTTATAGTTGCACTGATGGATTAAGCTAGCAGGTGGTTATTCAGGTTCAGTACTGATGAAAAATTTTCACCTTTCCTTGAATTGGCTGGGAAAATATATTTTTTACTAATGCTATGAATATCGATGGTGTTATCCATATTTAGGACTTGAGATAAATTAGACCTTTCACTCTGTCAGTCTTTCAGTCACTCCATACAGTGGGTATTGCATGTGACAATTCTCCACACAGTACCCACCTCACATGCCCCATCCCCAGGACAACATAAGGTTGCTGCTTATCTCTGACCCTTGGCTGTCCCCCTAATTTGACACCTGATCATACCTATTCCTCACCTCACCTCAAGATGTTTGTATTACTCCACTTCCACATCACGTTCATCATCATCGAGCCTATCCATTCGCCCAGCCCCATCCTCCAGCCCAACTCTTACACACCACCACCTATAGTTTTGCATGATTTTTGTTCAACCATGCCCATGGAATACTGAAACATTCAATATGACCCTATTCTATTAAAACAACAGATTACCAGGTGTAGGAATATGAGTATGAGAAGCTATTCAATTTGGCAAATGAAAAATGCTTCAGTTCATGTACTACACAGAAATGGGTATACATTAGTATGAGCCTTTAAAAATTATGACAATCAACAAGTGTGCAAAATCAAATTCACAAGACTGGCACATAAACAATGAAGCAAGAATTTCCATTAAGTACAATCTTCATGAAGATAATTAAAAATTGTTACACTATATTTGAAAGATTATTGAGTACATTCGTCAACAGAATTATGCAAATCCACTCGATATGGTAAGATAGAATTGCACTTAATATGGTAAAATAGAATTGTATATTCATGAAAATTTCCATAATGAATTTATTCAAACCCTCTTCATATGGCAAAACAGACGTGCACATTACAAAAACTTACTATAAAGAATACTATTATCCTAGATGAACCTTTGTATTTTTATATTTTTTCTATCTCAACATAATATGCACCCCCTCCCCTACTATTACTTAACCCAATTCTGCCAGGCCATACCTTGCGGCGTCATAACAAACTGCTCAATCTGTGGAGTCTGGCTGTATGTCGTGGCAACGCACCCAAACGCTATGAGCGGGGTATTTAGCTTGATGTAGTGAACTCCTGCACTCAAAGTCAGCTTATTGCCATTAGTCTCCAGAGTGTATTTTTTTTTCTTTTCTTTTCTTCACCCAGCGAGAAGGGGTTACGACACTAATTACCATCAAATAAGTAAAAGTAAAAATGCACAATTATAATGCAAGTAACAATCTTTTAGATTAAAAATTTGACTATTTAATATATCATTCAAGCTTATGTATAGTTTACTTTTAATAGTTTGTCAACTTAAACACCCATAGATGATGATATATTGCCCCTGACAATGGAGTGCCTCAAGTGCACGCAACAATGCAAATCTGATGTTAAGCAAAGTGTCTACACTTTTTACTTCATGCAGCAGCAGAGCTCTACCCATCCTCTGGTTAAACAGAGTATTTATTTATATTCTTAGTTGTAGTGTAATGAATAACCACACTGGTTAGGAAAACACAGCGATCGGAAGGAGTTTAGGAAGGATTAGGTTATTACAACCCCAGGCTAGGGTAGAGTGGTGATGGGGAGACGATCAGAGAAAGAGCCCCCAATAGGGGAACAAGGTGATCGGAAGGGAGCCTGGGGGCATAGCCCCTGGGTAAGGGAGGTTTTCTGTTCATACAACAATCTTTGTAGTAGTTTATCTGTTTAGTTTTGGATTCATTCGCACAATGTGTGGGTTTTTCATTTTCTTTATTATATGAAATGCAATTCTTGGCTTGGGTTTTTCATTTTCGTACTTTCCCTTTTCAAATTACCTTCAAATAACTTTAACCCCTTCCCAACAAATTACACCTATAGGTGTGAAAACAAACTGCTCAAAATGTGGCATGCAGCTGTACGCCACGGCAGCGTGCCAAAGTGCAGGAAACCAGTGATTCAGCCTGATGTACTAAACTCACGCACTCAAAGTCGGTGCGCTGCCATTGATTGCCAAAGTGTCGAGTTTTTTCTTTTTTTTTCTTCTTCTTAACCCGTTACCAAGGGGTTAAAAAGGGGAACATTTGGCTCATCTTTTCAAAACTGTTTTCTTTAGCTTTAAAATCAAAGTTTGTGTGGAAGACCTTTGTGTACCTTCCCCCTAAAACCCCAATTCCCCACATCCCCTAAGATTGTAGGGGTCAGGGTGAAAAATATAGAAAAAAATTCTGTTTCCTCCAGAATTACCAAATATTTTTTTCACTATTGAATATTCAACTTATCATAAGACCTATCTACAGTGAATCAAGGGCTTCTTGTGGCCTTCTTAAGTATGAATAAAACACAAGGATGACAAAGCCATATCTAACTAAATATACATGGTAGAAGTTTGTCCATAAAGCCAGAGAACTATAGGTACAGATGCCGGAACATCTGGGGTTTTTGCTGTCACAGCCTAGTTCAAGGATCAATGATCATCAAAAGAACCAGACCAAGCTATGTATAGTTTATAGGCCTTTGGCTTTTCCAATCAATTGTATGTTTGGAGTTGAAATGGAGTCTGTTAGACTGATATAGGTCAGGTATGGTGAGGTCAGGTCAGGTCAGGTATGATAACAATTGTAAACACAGATTTTGGAATAAGTTTGTGCCAGATGCTGCATCAGTGACTTATTTACTCTGCAATATGTAAAACTAAACTGGACTTAAATAAAGATATAAGAAAGGACAAAGGCCAATTCTGTCCCCAACTCCATTTCGCAAGAGGATGGTTGATGAGGGGCTCTGCCTTATTTTATTTTTCCTTTATTTGTGGCATTACTGTTTGTGTTTGCAGAACATTTCTTGTACCAACGACTACAACTTTTTGTCAATAATAATATCCTTTATGTGTCCCTACAATAAAGATTAACTGAACTGTCAATTATCAAATATTAAGAGAACAAGTTTTTACAGCTAGTAACACTGCATTTTGAGATCACAGTAAACTTCTTCATTGAGAATATCTGCATCTCTGTAATGATTTCAAACATCACTAATCACTATCTAATCCATTATAACCCACTACTGCTGGATCGTGTATAGACGTCATAAACTACTTGATCGACACGCATGGTAACACACTAGAGCGCGTCGAGTGGGAAGTTCTGCCACATGTAGCGGACTCCTCCTCCCAGCAGCAGGACGGTTGCCAGAATTCACCGGAGTCCATGACACCGAGACATTTTCAATAATATCACTGATGGATTAATAAACTGAAATCTTCTTTCAAATATTTACTTTTTATGACACTTTTTACTGTTAAGGTAAATATTACATATCTAATCTAAAAACTTTTTGGTTCAGTAATTTACATACAAATATATATCTTTAGAAATAAGAACTGTAAATATACAATGATGTTATGAGTTCAATGAGCAGCCTTGTTTCAAAGGTTTCTAGGCTCCAGCTATGAAAGTTATGTGAAAAGACTATACTTAGGCATACCTTCAAGCAATTTACCGTGAAATAGACAGAAGGACAATATAGATTTTTGTCATACATGAAATGAAAACGAAATGTAACAACAATAATATACAAATCCAATAAAAAACTGGTTAAACTGAAAATCCTGAGGAAAATAAAAACAATTACTGTTAAGAGCAAATAATTTGTGTAAAGAAAGTCTTGCCCAATGTGCAGATCAATTCATAACTTATACAGAAACAAGGAAATTGATTAGGAACACCTACAGAGTGATTTTCCACACCTTGCTACATATTGCATCATCACTGCAGAAGAAAACACCTAAGGTCTAAGGCTAAATGAATTAGTAAGGCAATATTCAGCTCCGTTTCGTATAAAAATCTAAATGCTCTTGCAAGAATGTGAAGCAGAGTGTCTAAGGCAGACGAGAAATCCCCTTCGTCCAAAATTACACAGGTCTTAGGGCGACTTCCGACCATAACGACAGAAGCGAAACACAAGTCCCTGTCCTGTCTCTCCCTCACACCATTCGCCTGCCCACTTACGCCCAGGAAACGCTCTCCCCTCACGATACTAGGGGAGTCTTACCC